TCCCCTCGTTAGTCGACATAGGGAATGATGGGAGCGCGCTCTACTGAACTGGAGCCAGAAGACGCATTGAGGCGGATGTGAGGTCGCCTGTCGCGCCCGCCGCTCATCACCTCCGTGTGTCTGCGCCTTCTGAACATGACTGTTCGGCAGAGCGAACTTGCGCAGTTTTGAACTAAAAATCCGAGTTTTGAGCCATTTTAAAGAACATTTAAGGTCGAATCAGAGGGATTTTGATAAAAAATGTTTCCGAAAATTTTCAAAAAATCGAAAAATCAGTTTAAAAATCGAAAAGTCGATATCTTCGAACCAAAAGGATATTCCGATCTCGTTTCAATTTTCGAAGGGTTCTTCTATGGAATGCCTCCTCTACCATTAATCGGCTCGTCTCACGATCAATCTGAGCAATCTCCTCAGATACTAAATTGCTCATACCCACGGAGCTACGGATTTCAGATAGTTCTGTGTCAGAAGAAGGAGATAGGGCGCTCTGGAAGGGGGGTTTTTCAAACTTTTCGATATTTTTATAAATTGAAAGATGAAAGCTCGCTCTACTGGACTGTTCATCGGAGCCAGAAGGAACAACGATGCGGAGGTCCCTGTCGCGCCACTCGTTCATCACCTCTGTGTGGCTGCGCCTTCTGGGCATGATTGTTCAGTAGAGCAAACTTGCATTTTGAAAATTTGAAAAATGTTGAAAAATGAACTTTTTCGCGCAATTTCTCAGTGGAGCGAGTTTTTAAAAAATCGATTTTTCTCAATTTTTTTTCAGTTAAGCTCCGCTCCCAAACCCTCACATTCAGCTCCTCGAACCCCAAATCCTCCTCATTATGCTGTTTTCCATGAATCAACTGAGCCATCGATGGCCTATTAAAGACCGCATCGGTATCGATTGAATTCCGATAGAAATCGATAATCGGCGGATGTTCGATGGTTCGCATATTCCTCCAACTCTTCATATTAAACGTCGTCTGATTCTCGTGACTATGGTCTTTTTCCTTTTTCCGGTCCTCTGTTTCATCGGAAATACTCCCGGAATCCTTATCTCCCACTGAGAAATGAACACCCTTGGCGCGGGACGCCGGAGAACGTTCTGGAGCTTCCAGCGGAGTGATGACGTCAAGTTCGTTGGCGATTTCGGCGACGAGTTGACCCGGATTTGTGTCTGATGTTACCTGGAAATGGGTGTTTAAGAGGGTTGGCGGGAAATTTGAAAATTTTTAATTAATTATTGACTGAAAATGTGCCAAAAATCGGTCAAAAATTAACTAGCAAAAAAAGTGAGAAATCCCAGAATTTCCTGAAAACAATTTTTTTTGGAAAATTTTTTTCGAGCTGAAATTCAACTTTTTTGGGTAATTTTAGGCTGAAAATATCGATTTTGCTAATATTAAGACTCGAATTGTTTATTTTTGTCATTTTCCTTACCATAAATCTTCCTGTCGCACTCATTTTCCTTGTCACCATCGTGACGTGCTCCTGAGCCACGGGCGGTGGCGGCTCGCTGCCACTTTTCAGCTTACGCACCATCTCCTCGCCATTCTCCTCGTCATTGGTTTTACTGACCTGGAATTATTGATTTTTAAAATTTTTTCCGGAATTTTTTAGGTTTTTCCCTTTTGCTCGACGATTTCTACCTCGAATCGACCGTTCAGCTCGCCCGGCGATGAATATGTCGACGGTTTTCGACTCATTTCGCGAATTTCATTTGATTTTCCTTGTTTTTTTTTCGAAAATTTTCAAGAGAAAACTGTTTTTTTTTTCGAAAAAACAACAAAAAAGCGATCACAACGAAACCCGAGACAGAGAAAGAGAGTGTGCGCCTTTGAACTTCTACAGTAGTCGATTTAATTTTTCCAGCGATTTTTGAGCGAATTTTCGGAATTTTTCCAGTGAAAAGTGCTAAAAATTGCAGATTTTTAATTTAATAATTTTGTTGAAGACAAATTTCTAAAAATGTTTGCTTAAAGTCGCTCAATTTTCAGTTTTTATTCAAAAAAAAAGTGTTTTCGTGGCGAGACTCAATATACAATTTTTAGTGTTGCACCTTTAATTTCAATCGCTGCGAAGTTCAGTTTACAGCTTTAGTGCTTAAGCCTTTGAGTTACGGCAGCGAATTTTCCAGATTTTCCAACAAAACGAGTCGGAAATTGCTACATTAATTGATATTTATTTTTGCAGAATAAAATTGTTGCTTAAAATCGCTGAAATTATTAGTTTTTTATGTTTTCAAAAAAATTCAATTTCGCGGCGAGACTCAATTTACAATTTTTAGTGTTGCGCCTTTGAGTTACGGTAGTGTTTTTGGCGAATTTTCAACAAAATTTCGACATTTTTACCGATTTTTTTCATCGAATTTCCGGGATTTTTTCAGAGAAAAATGCCGAAAATAGGCTTTTTTTCTGTCAATTTTCGGTTTTTTTCCAAAAAAAATTCAAAAATCAAAAAATTAAGTCCAACCTGAAATCTGGCCGATGAAACGCGATTCATCTCGACAACCTCGTCAGTGACGACGAGCAATTTCTGCTTCTCTTCGGATTTTCCACCATTTTCCCCATTTCCATTCATCTGGAGACGACGTCTTCTGGAGTCTTCTGGAGTGGTGTGTCTTGAATAAATATATGTATGTGTGCTGACCCGAAACTGGAAACAAAATAAATGTAATTGAGAGGGCGAGGCACTGGGTGATCAGATTTCATTAACGAGAAGAGGGAAGGCGTGAGAAAAAAAATTCTGAAAAAATGCAAAAATTTGAATAATTCTCCAAGTTCTTATACAAAAAAAAGGGGCGGATCTTAAGAAATGAATCAACACATTCCCTTTTTCCCAAACAATAACCTCTGCTGTTATAGGCAATATTGGCAATTTGATGACCTAGAATTTTTTTCTTATCAGTTTAATATGAAAAATCGGAAGCATTGAAACTACCCCACCCACACAGTTCAAATGATGTCAGCAAGAGCGCTCTGACGTACAAAATGGAGGATATGCATTGAAAAATTCAAATTCGTCATTTTTAAAGGAACAAAAAAGATCAAAAACTGTGGGAAAAAAGTATAGAAAATTATCACAAGAATTTAGGTTTCTCACACTATTCAAAAGAAAAAAATTCCTTGAAAAAAAATTTTTTTGCAGTTTCACGAATTTTGTATCTGGGTAAGAGGGAATAATATTTTGATTATACTTTTGTAGATGAATATGCTTAATGCAAATGCGCTCTACTGAAAATCCATAGAAAGTTGGATTCTCAGTAGAGCGGAATTGCATTAGTCACGTCAAAGGAAAGTTTCAGGTCAAGTTGACTATGAGCCACTTGAAACTTGAGTCACATTTTTTTTCGAAAAAAAAATTGGTTGTTGAGAAAAAAATTTTCTGGGACTTTCTGGGATTTTCTGGAATTTTCTATAATGTTCTAGAATTTTCTGGAATTTACTGGAATTTTCTAGAATGTTCTAGAATTTTCTGGAACTTTCTGGAAATTCCTGGAATTTTCTGGGTCTTTCTGGAATTTACTGGAATTTTCTGGGACTTTCTGGGATTTTCTGGAATTTTCTATAATGTTCTAGAATTTTCTGAATTCACTGGAATTTTCTAGAATGTTCTGGAACTTCCTAGGATTTTCTGGAATTTTCTAGAATGTTCTGGAATTTTCTGCATAACTTAAGAACCTTGTATTCAAAAGGAAACTACTATGACCCATTTCCAGTAGTCCACAGGATCGAAATTCAAGTGATATACAAAAGAAAACGAAATTTTCAAAATTTTCCAGTTCTGAAGATTTGTGCTCTATTTTATGCAGGCAACACATAAATAGGCCAAAAAACCGTTTTGCAAAATTTTGTGAAGTTTTATTGAGTTTGAGCATAATTTTGAAAATTTCGATTCTCAACACTGTAGCTTCCCTGTTAGCTAGAAGGCCCAGTACACCATAGACATCGGCAGTCCATGACTACATACCACACACAACTATAGGAGTCCCAAGCCCTTTTGAGTTATTCAAGTTAATGTCCGAGACGGACACACACACACACAGAAAAGTTTCCTTACAAGTGAGTTACTTGAGGGAGCAGATTTAACTTTTTTTGAAATTTTGGGAGCAGATAGAAGAGCTTATGAGAATCCCAAATCTGTTAAAAAAATCAGCAAAATGCTCACGTGAGCTGAGTTATGACCTAGAAAAGTTTCCCTATGATTAAGCAATTTCTCGTGAAATTTTTTTCACGGAATAGTGTATTTCTTTTAAAACAATAGATTTCAATCAGCAGTGTGGTAAAGTGGTAAAATGGCAAGTTCAGAGGAGGAAAGTTCTAGGTTCGATTCTCCCGATCCCAAAAATTTTGCAGAATTTTTTCGTTTTATTTTAAGGTGCCATAACTGGCTCTGGAATAAAATTTACGCAATTTAAACATGTTTTTCGGGAGTTTCTCGTTATGAATAGGCATTTTCCAGAATAAAAACAGGCATTTAATTTTTGAAGAAATTCACAAATATGCTCATGGGTTCACCGAAGATTTTTCAAAATTTTTTTTTCAATTTTTTTTTGTTTTTTTTTAATTGAAAAAACAGTTGAGGATTCTAAACACATCGGTGGCATTCGATGACAAACTGCTGGAAACATATGTTCGGCAAATTGCCGAGTTGCCGAATTGCCGAAAAAATTTTGTTCAAAATTGCTAACTTTGAAACCCTAAAATAGTAGTTCAAAATTTTCCAATTTGCCTGAAAATCGCAGAGTGTACTAAACAAAAATAGAGCTTTAATTTTGTAATTGACCACTTTTTTCTAGCTTCTCTGGTTTTTGGGATATGCGCCTTTAAAGATGGTGATGCTCTACAGTTCGAGAGACAGCAGGTTACGGTACTTTTAAAGGCGCACATCTCAAAAACCAAAAGAGCTAGAGAAAACTTGTCAACTACAAGATTGAAGCTCTATTTTTGTTTGGTATAATCTGAAATTTTCAGACAAATTGGAAAATTGTGGAATACATTCTAGAGATTTAAAGTTAGCGGGTACTGTAATTGAGTTTGAGCCTCTAATGGATCCTAAAACTTTTGATGGAGTACTGTAGAAACCAGAGGGTACTGTAGCCTAGTCCCCTAACAAGAAAAGAAGCAAGAAAAAAACGTAAAAAAAGTGTCTTATGATATGATGTATCAGTTTTTTACAACAATGGGAGAATAGGGAGAAATGATACATTACAATAACAAAAAAATATTCAAATTTTTCACAAAGAAAAACTTTTCAGCTAGAAAATATAAGAATCAAAACATTGGTGACTGTACGACAAAGGCTCCATCTATTTCTCTGCGTCTCTCACTCTCTCGGTTTTGCTCCAATTGCTAATTGACATCGGGGGGTGAAAAGGATGAGTAGACAGGCTCGCGGAAAAAGTGGGACAAATATTGACTCTTTGAGTTGGTATTAGGGAGAAAGAGAGAGAGAAAGAGAGAGAGAGAGAGAGAGAGAGAGAGAGAGAGAGAGAGAGAGAGAAAAGAGATACAAAGAGTCGAAAAGTTTGTTGCTGTTGTTGTTTTCTCTACTAGGAATGTTTGGAAACTGAAAACGTTTTCGGTAATTTTCAACCACCAAGTCTTTTTTATGATTGGTGCAGTATTTTTGGAAATCACTTAGCTACCTGCTACTAGAAGCATTAAAATACCAACAAAAAGTGGTTTGTGAAGCATATTTATATTTTGTGCCTTTAAGAATTCATAGATCTTGGAAAAACGGAAAAATTCTCATTCTTGAAAGACGAAAACTCGCACTTTATAATTGTTCAAAACTGAATATCTCGAGATCTCTGAAAAATGAAATTTCACCGCTACAACATATTCATGAAACTGTAATTTTTTTTAACGTTAATTATTAGTAGTGTGGGTCTTTCAGAAAAAAAACATAGGAATGTGGAATTAAAAGTTCCAAAAAGGAATTCCAGAGTTTCCTCATGGATCTAAATGGAGTACAAACATAAATCTCCTCAAAAGATTGACATATTGTAATGAGGTCTCTCTGGATTCAATAGAAAAAAGAAGAAGAGATTAAGTCGTTTGGTATTTGTGGTTTAGATTACTGACAAGTAGTTGATGTGACATTTGAGCGAGAGAGAGAGAAACAGAGAGAGAGAGAGAGAGAGAGAGAAAAGAGATACAAAGAGTCGAAAAGTTTGTTGCTGTTGTTGTTTTCTCTACTACTACTACTGCTACACAGAGTATCCGTTTCCTGTAGTACTGCTTTTTTTCGAATTTTACTTTTTCGACAATCAACCGTATTACGTTTTGAAAACTTCTCTTAACTTTCACATGTACACGGAACAGTAAATTTTCAAAAAACTTTTTAGAGCGCTTCCACCTATTCTCAGTAAAAAATTGCCAACTTTGGATCCCTAAAAAAGTGGTTCAGACTTTTTTCGATCTGCCCGAAACGTTTTTATAAATTCATCCAAGTGAGATATACCGCTTGAAATCAATCAAATGCAACAATTGTGTTAAGACTTGTGATAAGCGGTATATCTCACTTGGATGAATTTTTACAAAAAATTTGTCAATTACAAAGTTGACGCTCTATTTTTGTTCAGTATACTATGACATTTTCAGACAAATCGTGAAGATCTGGACCATTTTTTAGGACTCCAAAGTTAACCATTTACAATTGAAAATCGGCAAAATTCGAAATACTTTTTTTTGTCAATACTGTAATAAATTATAGCCAATTTATCTCGGTTCATGTGACAAATATCAAAAAATGGTCAATTGACAAAACGTTTTTAATATTATGACAAAAAATTTGTTATTTGACTATTTTTCGTTATCTTTCACAGGAAATGAGATAAATGAGCTCAAAGTTGATAGTTATGGCAATGTGATAGATAGTGCGCTAGAGCGGAGATGTATCGTTGGAATTATCCCCGAGTCCAGAAAAGCATACCCAGAAAAATATATGAATATTATGAAACTGTCAAAAAGTGCATGAATAGATAAAAAGAAAGGAAGTTTTGGGGGTATTGGGTGAAACAAAAAGTGGGAGAAAAATTACAATTTTTGAGCTCCGAAATAGAAGGAATGAATCAGAGAAATAAGGAAATTAACAGAATTATAGAAATTGAGATACATTAAAAATTTGTAATTTGCAATTTTTGAAATTTTAGGAAATTTGGATTTTGTCATGCTAGTGATAAATAAAATCAATTTTTAGTTCTTCAGATATGCATTTTTTTTAATTTGAGAAAATTGAATAATTAGGGAATGTAAAACACATGCAGCAAGTTTTTAAGCTTAGCCTATAATTTATGAGTTTTTTGAAGCAGAATAAAATGTTTTCAAAAACAAAAATTCAAAATTAATTTTCAGAACATTTGTGGTGACCCAAAAAAATTCGGAAAAAGTTCTCGAAAAGCAATCTGGCACATTCCTTCCGGCTCTCTTTTTTCCCCATGGGAGAATCCGAAAAGTTATCCACCAGGAAACAATAAATTTGGTTTTTTTTTCGTTGTCTCATCTCTCTTTTTTCTCTTTGTTCTTTTTTTTTTTCAAAAGTTTGGAAGGTTTTGAATACGTAGATCATAGGAAAAA